ATACTGTTACTGAGGGACACAGAATTGTTACTCAGGGACACAGAATTGTTACTGAGGACAGACACAGAATTGTTACTCAGGGAGGGACACAGAATTGTTACGAGGGACACAGAATTGTTACTCAGGGACACAGAATTGTTTTATCAGGGACAAGACACAGAATTGTTACTGAGGGACACAGAATTGTTACTGAGGGGAACAGAATTGTTACTCAGGGACAGGACACAGAATTGTTACTGAGGGACACAGAAATTGTTACTCAGGGACACAGAATTGTTACTCAGGGACACAGGAATTGTTACTCAGGGACACAGAATTTGTTACTCAGGGACAGACACAGAATTGTTACTGAGGGACACAGATTGTTATAGAGGGACACAGAATTGTTACTCAGGGACAGACACAGAATTGTTACTCAGGGACAGACACAGAATTGTTACTCCAGGGACACACAGAATTGTTACTGAGGACACAGATTGTTACTCAGGGAACATGACACAGAATTGTTAATTCAGGGACACTGTATTTGTTACTGAGGGGACAGACACAGAATTGTTACTGAGGGACACAGAATTGTTACTGAGGGACACAGAATTGTTACTCAGGTACAGACCACAGAATTGATACAGGGACAGACACAGAATTGTTACTGAGGGTAAGGGACACAGAATTGTTACTGAGGGACACAGAATTGTTACGAGTATTGTTATGGGACACAGAATTGTTACTGAGGGACACAGAATTGACCCCAACTGAGGGGACACAGAATTGTTACTGAGGGACACAGAATTGTTACTCAGGAGGGACACAGAATTGTTACTCAGGGACAGACACAGAATAGTACTGAGGGAACAGAATTGTTACTCAGGGACAGACACAGAATTGTTACTGAGGGACACAGAAATTGTTACTCAGGGACACATAATTGTTACTGAAGGACACCACGAATTGTTACTCAGGGACACAGAATTGTTAATCAGGGACAGACCACAGAATTGTTACTGAGGGACACAGAATTGTTACTGAGGGACACAGAATTGTTACTCAGGGACAGGGACACAGAATTGTTACTCAGGGACACAGAATCGTTGAATTAAAGAGTATGTAAGACAACATGCAGAGGAGTGGCAGAGGAGGCAATGTTTTAGGAGCGAGCAGACGTGGCAGCAGAGGAAGGGGTCGAGGCAGCACTATTCGCAGCCAGAGGCCAGTGCTCCCGGTGTCATCCAGCGGTCGTGTCGCTCCACCGACAACCCTGCCGTCATCTCGATTGGTTGGCTCGGTCATCTTTCCTCTTCCCAGGTCACCTCTGACACCTACAGCCAACCAGGTCGGTGTGTACGTCAGACACAAACCGTTGTGGCATGGCCCGGGAGCAACTGCCCCCACTGAAATCACGTGTCCTTACCTGCCCCTGTCCTTTGGTGTTCCCTCACCAAGCGAAGTATCGCATGCTGTGGGCTCAGCCCCACTGTACAGTGAGGAAGAGCTAACAGAGGGCGGTCAGGAACGGGGGGAGACATCCGCTCTTCAGCAGCCAGGCGAAGAAGTAGTGGCGAGGAGAGTGGCTCGGTAGCCGGTCTAGAGACAGGTCTGTCTCCTGACCCACACGCAGCCGAGGGGGCATAGTGTGAGGCGGAGACCCTAATTGATGATGATGAGGCTGATCGCACTTGGCAGCCTCCGTCGTCATCAGGCTATTGCTTCCGCATTCATCAGGAGAAGCAGGGGTGGCAGCCTTGGCAGCGAGCAAAACAGTCGGTGGGTTGCCCAGGAGGCAGCAGGGTCGCAGCAGTGTCAGTGGAGGCAAACGGCCACGGAGTAGAGCACCAGCTCCACTGCAGCCTACCACCATGGCCAGTAGTGGTGCCGGTGGTGCACGGAGGAAGTAGCAGTCAGCCAGTAAGGAGTATCAGGGGGCAAAGTTTCCTTTACTCGGCGGGTTGTGGCAATTTTTCGTCAAGAGCGCACCGAGGAAGTAAACGTAGCCGTATGTCGACTATGGTGGCCCAGTAAAGTCAAGCGTGGCCAGGGGGCCCCATGTTGGGACTACAGCGTTGCGTCAAGCATATGCAGCGTCGCCATTTGGTGGCTGGGAAAACCGTGATAAAGATACGGCGATTTCTGCCTGCCCCAGCTGTGCCGCTCCATCACCCGCTCCGTTACTTGCTCTGTTCACCCGACGTCAATCGCATGGCCACTCTATCAGCCTGTCAAGGCTCCAACACCTCTTGTGAGGGGAGTTGTTGCTCGTTGGCATCTTCCGTTCATTCAGATGCTGCCTCCTGCTACTCCTCTTCACGGATTCCGTCAGCAGTCTTTCTTGGAATCCGTTTCCAAGAGACAACAGTTTGCGAGCACGCACCCGACGGTGATCCCAAAAGCTGAAATCGTGCCCACTGTCCAAGTTGCGTGTGCTGCAAGTCCCTCCCTTTCCAAGTGGTGGATCAGCACCTTTCCGAAGAAATGATGGCTTGTGCCGCCGCCGTGGTGGAGAGTCTGCAAGCCAGTCATTTCTTCGCCATAAAGGCAAGTGCCATCCCTGCCATTCACATGTATAAGAGATGGTGGGCCAGTCTTTGAGCATGTCGGTCTCTGCCAAAGTGCACGGCAGCGCCGACGTGTGGAGCTGTAACTAAGTCACGGTCAGGGAGTCACAGTACATTGTCCATTTAACGGCCCACTGGGGTGAACGTTGGTGCCGGACAGCCGCACCATGCAAACTGGGACAGATCACGCCGCTTTGGGTCCTTGCCCTCCACGTTGAAGCACGTCCTTGGTCCACAAAAAATGTCCGCCTGCTACCACCTCTTCTTCCGCCGTGGTCCTCAGCCGGCACCCCCGTGCCAAGTCCATTACCGACCGGCATATCACATGTGCATGGGCGCTAACGGTGTCACGCTGTGCATGCCACCTGGTATGCCTTGGCGAACGTAGTCACACAGGGGAGGAAACTTCTGAGTGTAATGAACAGAGAAATCGACAGATGGCTGTCTACCGCGCAAACTGAAAATCGGGAAACATTTTGACCGACATCGGAAAAGAACATGGTGTCTGCTTCTGCGTCAGGAAGGTTGTGCCATGGCGCCATGCATGGCTCACGTGTCAGTTTCTGGTTGTCAAGCGGTTCCTAAAATCCACCATCGCCACTGCAAGGACATCCTTAAAAATGTCATTTTTTTAAACTTTGCATGCATTTCAGTCATTCCTACGGGCCTCCAAAGCACACTGCCCTCCTTGAGCTGCAGCCGGGCAGAACGGTATTCCACAGCATCGCCTGATCTGCCCGACGTTGCAACAAGGTGGAATTCAACCCTTACACATGTTAGACCGCCTTTTTACGAACAGCGGAAAGGCCATCAACCGATTTCCTGATGTTACAAGTGGATAAAGGTACTCACCCTTGTGTAACTTCGATGTCAGTCCATTGGCAGCTCATGCGTGACACCTTGCCTGCTTGCCAGGTCCACAGGCCCTCATGAGGTAGGCCACGCTATTGCGTGGTCAGCAGGACTATGGGTTGAACGACTTCGACGTCATTCCTCTGTTGCACGTCCTGGAACAAATGCTTGTTAACAATGGCTGGTTCTGCGTCAGGGTGCGGTAGACGTGGACGCACAGTAATCTCAACGCCATGATGACCCCTGTGGGGGCAGGACAGGAAGAAGAGGAGGAGGTACGAGGAGGACATTTGTTGTCACCTCTCAGGAATTATTGAGTGAAATTGGTTGGTTTTTCCACTCAGCGGACAGGAGTGGAGGAGCAGGAGCATCTGGTAGAGGAGGAGGAGGAGGATGACAGAGGACCCAGACGCCACCGTGGCGAGTATGCTGTGGAGATGGAGGACAGGGAGTCCCTCGCATTCTTGGCACAATTGGCCCATAGCATGCTCGGTTGCTTGCGTAGCGACTTTCAGCCGAATAATAACCATCATCACAGAGGGATGACTTTTGGCTGTCCACTTGTTGGACCCTCGCTACCGTTCAAAAATGGTGGCCTTTTTCACACCTGCCTGAGAGGGAGGCCACCTAAATAACGTACTATAAAAAACCATAATGTAGTCAGTTTGGTCTCTGTCTTTCTGCGCCAACGTCCATCCGCTTCAGACACCTGTGGGCCCTTGTGCGCTTGCGATTTCCGCTGCCATGGCAGCATGGGGAGGAGGGTGGGGGGTGGTTGGAGCAGCAGTGGCAGCTCCTGACCTGCAAGCGGCTGCCTCAACAGTCTGCAGTCGATGATGAGTAGCTTTCTTCACCAGCGTAGTGAGGAAACTACTAACCAGCCGCTGAAGCATCGCAGCAGCATCAGGTGGACCTGGAAGCAGGACCTCAAACAACAGAGCGTGGGGCCTACTTGGACAGCACTCATGCCAAGCCCGAGGTAGGACAATCCCCTTGTATACTGGGCAACGACAAACTTGACCTTTGGCCCCCAACTAGCTGAATTTGCCCTTGAAAAGGCTGTCATGCCCGGCCAGTAGCGTGGCATCGGAGCGCGTGTTTTACTTTGCGGCAGGAGGTATTGTAACTCCGCGGAGGACCACGACATGTCCACCCAAAGTGTGGAGACGGGACTCACGTTTGTGAAATGAATCAGGCGTGGATTAGTTGGATTTCAAACCACCAGTTCTGACACAACTGACGCTAAATCCGCCATGAATCATGCCCCAAACATGTGCCACTTTCAGGTTCCTCTCACATGCTGGTGTCTTGTTCCATTTTTTGTCATAGGGTGCTGGCAGATTACGGGCCTCCCATTGCTGCTGCCAGGCCCGTAATCTGCCATGGGCCCCTGTACCGACCTCCTCATGCTGCTGCCAGGTCCACAGTGTCTCATGGGTCCCTGTAGGCCTCCCATTGCCTGCTGTCTCCATCGCCACACTCTGCATGTGCCACTTTCAGGTCTCCTCACACTGCTGGTGTGTTCCATTTTTTGTCATAGGGTGCTGGGCAGATTACGGGCCTCCCCATTGATTGCTGCCAGGCCCGTAATCTGCCTTGGGCCCCTGTACCGCCTCCTCATGCTGCTGCCAGGTCCACAGTGTCTCTATGGGTCCCTGTTACGGCCTCCCATTGCTGCTGTCTCCATCACCACACTCTGCCATGTGCCACTTTTCAGGTCTCCTCACACTGCTGGTGTGTTCCATTTTTTGTCATAGGTTGCTGGGCAGATTACGGGCCTCCCATTGCTGCTGCCAGGCCCGTAATTTCTGCCATGGGCCCCTGTACCGCCTCCTTATGCTGCTGCCAGGTCCAGAGTGTCTCATGGGTCCTCTGTACTCGGCCTCCATTGCTTGCTGTCTCCATCGCCACACTCTGCCATGTGCCCACTTTCAGGTCTCCTCACACTGCTGGTGTGTTCCATTTTTTGTCATAGGGGTGCTGGCAGATTAACGGGCTCTCCCATTGCTGCTGCCAGGCCTGTAATCTGCCATGGGCCCCAGTACCGCCTACCTCTGCGCTGCTGCCAGGTCCAGAGTCTCTCATGGGTCCTGTACGGCCTCCCATTGCTGCTGTCTCTATCGCCACACTCTGCCATGTGCCACTTTCAGGTCTTCCTCTCACACTGCTGGTGTGTCATTTTTTGTCATAGGGTGCTGGCAGATTACGGGCCTCCCATTGCTGCTGCCAGGGCCCGTAATCTGCCATGGGCCCCTGTACCGACCTCTTCATGCTGCTGCCAGGTCCAGAGTCTCTCATGGGTCCCTGTTCGGCCTCCATTGCTTGCTGTCTCCATCGCCCACACTCTGCCATGTGCCACTTGCAGGTCTCCTCACCACTGCTGGTGTGTTCCATTTTTTGTCATAGGGTGCTGGCAGATTACGGGCCTCCCATTGCTGCTGCCAGGGCCTGTAATCTGCCATAGGGCCCCTGTACCGCCTCTTCATGTGACTGCCAGGTCCAGAGTGGTCTCATGGGTCCCTGTACGGCCTCCCAATTGCTGCTGGTCTCCATCGCCACACTCTGCCATGTGCCACTTTCAGGTTCTCCTCACACATGCTGGTGTGTGTTCCAATTTTGTCATAGGGTGCTGGCAGATTACGGGCCTCCCATTGCTGCTGCCAGGCCCGTAATCTGCCATGGCCCCCGTACCGCCTCCTCATTGCTTGCTGCAGGTCCAGAGTCTCTCATGGGTCCCTGTACGGCCCTCCCATTGCTGCTGTCTCCATCGCCACACTCTGCCATGTGCCACTTTCAGGCTTCTCTACACTGCTGTGTGTGTTCCATTTTGTCATAGGGTGCTGGCAGATTACGGGCAGCTCCATTGCTGCTGCCAGGCCCGTAATCTTGACATGGGCCCCGTACCGCCTCCTCCATGAGCTGCTGCCAGGGTCCAGAGTCTCTCATGGGTCCCTGTACGGCCTCCCATTGCTGCTGTCTCCATCGCCACAACTCTGGCCATTGTGCCACTTTCAATGAGGTCTCCTCACACTGCTGGTGTGTTCCATTTTGTCATAGGGTGCTGGCAGATTACGGGCCTCCCATTGCTGCTGCCAGGCCCGTAATCTGCCATGGGCCCCTGTACCGCCTCTCATGCTGCTGCCAGGTCCAGAGTCTCTCATGGGTCCCTGTTCGGCCTCCCATTGCTGCCTGTCTCCTCGCCACACTGTGCCATGTGCCACTTTCAGGTCTCCTCAACACTGCTGGTGTGTTCCATTTTTTGTCATAGGGTGCTGCCGGCAGATTACGGGCCTCCCATTGCTGCTGCCAGGCCCGTAATCTGCCATGGGCCCCTGTACCGCCTCCTCATGCTGCTGCCAGGTCCACAGTTGTCTCATGGGTCCCCTGTACGGCCTCCCATTGCTGCTGTCTCCATCGCCACACTCTGCATGTGCCACTTTCAGGTCTCCTTACACTGCTGGTGTGTTCCATTTTTTGTCATCTTAGGGTGCTGGCAGATTACGGGGCCTCCATTGCTGCTGCCCAGGCCTGTAATCTGCCATGGGCCCCGTGATGGGTAACCGCCTCTTCATGCTGCTGCCAGGTCCAGAGTGTCTCATGGGTCCCTGTACGGCCTCCCATTGCTGCTGTCTCCATCGCCACACTCTTGCCATGTGCCACTTTCAGGTCTCCTCACACTGCTGGTGGTAGTGTTCATATTTTTTGTCATAGGGTGCTGGCAGAATTACGGGCTCCCATTGCTGCTGCCAGGCCCGTAATCTGCCATGGGGCCCCTGTACGACCTCCTCATGCTGCCAGGTCAGACGAATTAATGCAAACTGTAGGAAATGGTGATTCAACCACTGTGCCATGTGCCACAGGTCTTGTTAAGACCGCCTTTATTGGAGCACTCAGCGAAAAGGCCATCACAGATTCCTGATGTTACAGCGGATAAAGGTACTCATGAGGCCCCATGTGTAACTTAGATGTCAGCATGCCAGGTCCAGAGTGTCTCATGGGGTCCCTGCTTGACACCTGGCTTGCTCAGGCCCGCTTTCTGACTTTTAAGGTTCCACGTAGGCACACGCTATTTGTGATGTCCATTTTGTTTTAGTGAGTGCTGGCAGAGTCAAGGGACTTTGGGATGAACGAGCGTTCATTCCTCTGTTGCACGTCCTGGATTCATAACGCTGTTAAACTACCATGGCTGGGTCAGGGTGCGGTCCAGACGGGCCACAGAATCTCAACGGCCACACTGCTGGTGTGACCCCTGTGGGGGGACGGGACAGGAATTGAAGATAGGAGGAGGTCGTGAATCTGCCATGGGCCCCTCTGGCATCTTCATGCTGCGCCAGGACATTGCGTCATGGGTCCTCAGGAATTATTGAGTTGAAATGGTGGTACTTTCCACTCAGCGGACAGGGAGTGGAATGGAGCAGTAGCATCTGGTAGAGGAGCTGAGGAAGACAGAGGGCCTCCCATTGAACTGCTGCCACCGTTCAATCTGGCAGTATGCTGTGGAGATGGAGTCCAGGGAGTCCCTCGCATTCCCATTGTGGTCTCACAAATGGCCCAATAGCATGCTCGGTTGCTTGCGTTCAGCGTCAGTCCGAATAATAACCATCAGACAGAGGGATGACTTCCATTGGCTGTCAACCTTGTGCCATGGGCCCCCGTACCCTCGCTACCGTTCAAAAAATGGTGAATTGCCTCTATATGTTAGACCGCCTTTACGAAAACAGCACACCTGCATCGAGATGTTACAGGAGGCCAAAATAACGTACTCCCCTGTGTACCTATATAAACCACCTATGTAGTCAGTTGGTCTCTGCCTTTCTGCAGGCCAACCGTCCATCCTCTGACACTGGTGGGAACCCTGTGCGCTCGCGCTTCCGCTGCCATGGCAGCAGTGGGGAGGGTAGGTGGGGCACAGTCAGACCCCTGTGGAAGCAGTGACAGGAAGAAGGAGCAGGCAGCTCACTACCTGCAGCGGCTGCCTCAGTATGCAGTCGGAAATGTGTAGCTTTCTTCTCACTCAGCGACGGAGTGAGGAAACTGACTAACCAGCCGCAGCAGCAGCAGCATCAGGTGGGACCTGGAGGTCAAGAGGACTTCAATACAACAGGCAGTAGATGCTGTGGGCCTACTTCGGACAGCACGCCTGCCAACGAGGTAGACAATCCCTTGCACATATGGGCATACGAATTGACGGTTGCTTCCTGTGGCCGCCAACTAGACTTGCTGAATTTTTGCCCTTGAAAGGCTGTCACTGCCCGGCCAGTATAGCGTGGCATCGGAGCGCGTGTTTAGTGCGGCAGGGGAGGTATTGTAACTCCGCGGAGGACACGACTGTCCACCCAAAGTGTGGAGAAGATCTTTCACGTTTGTGAAAATGAATCAGGCGCATGGCGTGTTTAGTGGCGGTGAGGGGGGATTGTAAACACCGTGTGGAGAGGACTGCGTCGTGGATTAGTCTCTGAGTTTCATAACCACCAGTTTCCTGACACAACTGACTAAATCCGCCATGAATTCATGCCCCAAACATGTGCCACTTTCAGGTCTCCTCTCACACTGCTGGTGTGTTCCATTTTTTGTCATAGGGTGCTGGCAGATTACGGGCCTCCATTGCTGCTGCCAGGCCCGTAATCTGCCATGGGCCCCCGTACCGCCTCCTCATGCTGCTGCCAGGTCCAGAGTCTCTCATGGGTCCCTGTACGGCCTCCCATTGCTGCTGTCTCCATCGCCACACTCTGCCATGTGCCACTTTCAGGTCTCCTCACACTGCTGGTGGGTTTCATTTTTGTCATAGGGTGCTGTATGGCCTCCCATTGCTGCTGCCTCCACCGCGCACACTGTGGCTCCACACTCAGGTTTTGGCCCCGTGACTGCCCAAATGAGTGAAGTGTGCGGTGATTCTAAGATCGACGGCACTCATCTGCATGTCATACTGACTGACAGTATTATTCTCTTCCCAGCAGACTCCAAGGGCATTTAAATTAAAGGTACAGTGTTCTGCACTAATATGAAGGCTCTCTGAAGCCTAGAAACACCCTTTTATAAGTTAAATTCGCAGCGAATATATTCGCATCGAATCGAATTTATTCCTCGAATTCGCCGAATCAGCCGAATCGAATTTTTGAATACTTCGCTCATCTCTACTCTTCAGCACATGTCTTTTTTTCAACAGTGGGACTTTGCGGGGGCTTCTTGCAGATAGCTTGGCTTCATATAGGTGTCTTCTAATTGTAACAGTACTCACAGGTAACTTTAGACCTTCTTTGATCTTCCTGGAGCCGATTGTTGGCCGAGTTCTTGCCATTTTGGCTATTCTTCTATCCATTCGAATGGTAGTTTTTCACTTTCTTCCACATCTTTCAGGTTTTGGTTGCCATTTTAAAGCATTTGCAATCATTTTAGCTGAGCAGCCTATCATTATCATTTCTTTTTATGTTTTCCCCTCTCCAGTCAACTTTTTAATCAAGGTACGTTGTTCTTCTGAACAATGTCTGGAACGACCCAATTTCCTCAGAATTTCAGAGATAAATGTACTGTAACCAGTATGTACAACATTTGCTGCCTTCCTTCTTTAAATAAGGGCAATAATTGCCACCTGTTTTTCAAAGAATGAATGACCTCACTAATAGAACTCCACACTGCTATTATTTTAAACATGCCCCTTTCAATTAGTGATTCAATTACACAGATTCAGCAGCATGAATGTCATGACTGTTGGGTCTGTTGGATTTCTATTACTCTACTACACCTGCTAGTAAATTATTTGCCATGTAGAAATATAATTTCTATCAAAAACAGTGATTGATCAGGTTAGTGATGTCTGACTGCTATTATTTTGAACACAACTGTACATACATACATACACACACACACACTGCTCAAAAAAATCTCAGCAAGGGGCAACCATTTTTAGACAGTGGAATCATTTCAATACAATGAATACTGGCATGATATTATTTTTAATCTACACTGATTAAACAAAATTAAATGAACACTTTGAAAACACATCAGATCTCAATGGGGAAAAATATCATGCTGGATATCTGTATTAATATGGACTGGGTAATGTGTTAGGAAATGTAAGGATGCTTCATTGTTTGATGGAAATGAAAATTATCAACCTACAGAGATACTGAGAATCAAAGTGAAAAAATTATGCAGTAGGCTAGTCCATTTTGCTGAAATTTCATTGCAGCAACTCAAAATGGTACTCAGTAGTTTGTATGGCCCCCACGTGCTTGTATGCGTGCCTGACAACATCGGGGCATGCTCCTAATGAGACGACAGATGGTGTCCTGGGGTATTTCCTCCAGATCTGGACCGAGGTATCACTGAGCTCCTGGACAGTCTGAGGTGCAACCTGGTGGCATCGGATGGACCGAAACATGATATCCCAGAGGTGTTCTATTGGATTTAGGTCAGGCAAGCTTGGGGCCATTCAATGGTATCAATTCTTTCATCTTCCAGGAACTGCCTGCATACTCTCGCCACATGAGGCTGGGCATTGTCATGCACCAAGAGTAACCCAGGACCCACTGCACTAGCGCATGACCTGACAATGGGTCCAAGGATTTCATCCCGATAACGAATGGCAATCAGGGTACCATTGTCTAGCCTGTAGAGGTCTGTGTGTCCCTGCATGGATATGCCTCTCCAGACGATCGCTGACCCACCACCAAAATGGTCATTCTGAACAATGTTACAGGCAGCATAACATTCTCCATGTCTTCTCCAGACCCTTTCACATCTGCCACATGTGCTCAGGGTGAACCTGCTCTCATCTGTGAAAAGCACAGGGCACCAGTGGTGGACCTGCCAATTCTGGAGTTCAATGGCAAAATGTCAGTCGAGCTCTATGGTGCCAGGCAATGAACAGTGAGTGACCTTCTATGGCCCTCTCCAGCTCTCCTAGAGTAACTGTCTGTCTCCTGGATTCTCCTCCATGCTCTTGAGACTGTGCTGGGAGACACAGCAAACCTTCTGGCAATGGCACATATTGATGTGCCATCCTGGAGGAGTTGGACTGCCTGTGCAACCTCTGTAGGGTCCAGGTATCGCCTCATGCTACCAGTAGTAACACTGACCCTAGCCAAATGCAAAACTAGTAAAAATAGTTCAAAAAGATGAGTAGGGAAAAAAAATGTCAGTGGCCTTCACCTGTAAGACCATTCCTGTTTTGGGGGTCATCTCATTGTTGACCATCTAGTGCACCTGCTGTTAATTAAATTAACACCAAAGCAGCTGAAACTGATCAACAACCCCCTCTGCTACTTAATTGACCAGATAAATATCCCAGGAGTTTAATTGATTGATATACTATGATTAAAAAGTGTTCCTTTATTTGTTTCAGCAGTAGGTATGTATATATGTATGTATGTATGTATGTATATATATACATATATATATATATATATATATATATACACATACACACAAACACAATTTTTCACACTGTCTAATTCTGACCACATTAGGAGTGAGAACAATCACGTAAGGTTTGTTGCAATGATCAGACCCTTCAGTTAGGTGGGTTGACATATGCCAGGTACTTTCCAATTTATCTTAGGTTATTAAAGGTTATTAATCAAAAATAAGCTACCATCACAATTTAAAGAAGGAAAAAAATTACAGTAAAATCAACATAGTCAAGCTTAAACAATTTCAAGCAGTAGGTTATATGAACTCATTTACATAGTAAGCTGCACAAGTTCCACACTATAACAAACCAGCTCCTTGCATCTGACTGATATATCTAATCAAATTCTAATCATAAGAAGATGACAGGTAGGCAAGATGACTAATTTGTTAAGTAGAAATCACAGAACCATAATACTTCCTGAAATAGCCTTAGCCTCAATACAGGGCAATATTTTAAGGAAGATTAACTATAGTTGCAAACAAAGCCTCTGTAAATAGAAAATCAGATCTTTAAGTAGTTTTCCACTTTACATACAATATATCAAAATGGGGACTTCAACAAGCATTAGAACCATAAAAGAAAGCCTGTGATTGGCTGCTATGCACATTACTCAGTGCCTTCAGTGTCTTTAGATCTAGTAACTGTAGCATATAATGTTCATACACTTTTACACCTTTGGCAAATTATTCTGTAAATAACTGTTCCCATCAAAGCTCTTACAAAGCAGACCTTTCCATGCATAGCAATTACTCATCAGGCAACGCATAAAGCATTTCTGTTGTCAACGTCTCAAATTATCTCATTTTTTTTATCTGCATCAACATGTCACTAAGCAATCCAATTTGGTGACATGTCAGTCAAGCAGACAAGGTTAGAGTTATTTCTTCTTCTCATGTTCACTCATTCTTTCCTGTATTATCACCTGTATCATCTCCTTTCACTTTTTGACAAGGTCAAATGTATGGTTTCATTTTTCCCATATCACAGTTCAATAATTTGGACTTGTCTAGCCGTTAACAAATGTGCTTTTAAAAATGCTCTCATAAGCCATGCTAGGGAAATCCTAGGAAAGCTAGGATATATAAAAAAAAAAAACACCATTTTTTTTACCAGGCATTCAGAAAATATAAGACATGATAACAAAGTTATAATTTACTTTTAAAATAACTGCTTTTATTTATTTTTATTTTTTTTCCTTGTGGGGGGGGGGGTATTACCAAATAAAATAAATAATTTTATGACAAATACATTTTATTCACACAATATCCTAAAGCTAAACTTTTAAATAAAAAAATATTGTCTAAATACAAGAGGTGTGCACCACAGCCCAAATGCAAAGACAAGTCACTACTGCTCATTCTCCTTGTACAGGCAGATTAGTTTTGTATCTGCCCCCATTACCAACACCCCCCCCCCCACACACACACACACACACTATAGTTTTCTCCAGGCAGCTCTGGTCTCTGCACAGGCAATGTGCAGTACAGTGATGATTTCACTGCTAATTTTACAAGGTACTAACCTGGTTTGCCAAGACATTTTGTGCACACATAGTGGATTTCTGTCTATTAATGAATATGTTTAAATTCAATCTTTTTGTGACCAGAATTCAATTTAGAGCTGAACTGTATGCATGTACAAATTGCACAAATCAATGCAGCTTTGTATTCCTTAATACATCATAAAAAAAAACTTTTTTTAAGCTTAAAACAGAACTCCTGGTTGATGATTTCCCACCTTCACTGAATATGCCATCCATCTTCTTTGAAATAGCCTATTCATTTTCCAATCAAACCATTAATTCTCTTTGGTTTCCTGTTTGTAATACCAGTGGCTGTTATGCCTCCTATTCCTCCCGGCCACTGATTTTGGCACATCCCTTCTGTAGTTCTTTCTCCAGGAAGTAGTGATGTAATTCAGCCTCACTTGCAGTGGTGGGTGGATTGAGACGCTCAGACACATACAGACCTAGTGTACCCACCCACAATTCCCTGTGATTGATGGAAACCGTAATTCCCGGAGAGAGAGGAGAGGATATGATGTAATCTCTGCTGTTACACCTCTTCCTTGGCAGAGCAGATACTGTTATCATTTGAATTACAGAGATAAGGCCATGAAAATTCAGTTAGACTTTTCCCCTACATGGTAAGGAATTTCCAAATTGTACTATCCGTTTCGTTTTTTGTATAGGCGGCTCTACTAATGAGCGATTTTTTTGCCTATCCCAGAGTTCTTCTTTAAGGCTACGAAAGCAGGCAAGACCTAAAACCTCTGTCAATTTATTTTTACTGCCCCAGGGGAGATTTCACTTTACTTCCCATGTTGGAGACAACATGAAACGAAAGGTAATATCAAAGTTAAAGGAGACTCCATATTAACCCTTTGGTGCCAACCACCTCTGGGCCCTTTAAAGGTTCTAAAAGCTGAGAGGTAGAGGCGGGCCTTTGGGTCACGTGACCACTGTGATTGGCTGTCACAGCTGGTCACATGATTGGAAATTTCCCTGATCACAAGTATTCATCGGGACTTACCAATTCTGAGCGGCTACCGTGCTTGGAGCACAGTAAGTAGTTTTATGAGGGCACTTGGCATTAAGGCCCACACGTTGAGCGGCCGCATATATGCGTGAAGCTGGCAGCAACAGGTTAAATATTATGGGAATGTTCCTTGGTAATGTTTACACAGAGAAGCAGCATAATTTACATTAAGAAGCTCCGGAGCTGCTGGCTACCTACACTCTAGATCTGTGATGTGAACAGTGCACTGTTCTCCTGCCTACACATCCTAACAGAGCAGTTGAGCTTGGGTAAGATTTGTTCTCATATCCTCTTTCATATATCCAATGCAAACTAACAAATTAATATGTTTAAAAAATAAAAATCATTTTTTTTCCTCCAGCATGTATGGCTTCTTTATTAGCGGGCTGGAAAATCTAATCATCTAACTTGAATTCAGTTTTAGGTTTTCAACCCAATGTACTGCATTTATAGTATACCTCATTAATATGTTTTATTGTGTTTACATATAAAAACATAAGACAAAATTGTGAGTGAAAAGAAAAAGTACTGTACCTACGCTCCAGTCAACCTCTTCAACAGCATCCCCATAAATACCATGCATACTTTTGCCACTAAAATCTTGAGAGGCATAAAGCGCAGTATGGACTTGAAGATAGGACATAAACAGAAGGAATGGTTTAAACTTGTTCCTGTAGATTAATAAAACATAGCATGCTTGTCATAAATACAATTTAAATATGCTATAGACTATTTTGTCTGTGTTGTAAAAATGTGGTTTTATTGTGTGAAGAGCAAGAAATACTTTAAGAATCCTAACAAAGGTACACAAGCTCTAGACTAGTTAAAGTAGAATTTACTACAGGGAAGTAGAATTAAAGGCAAAATCTTTGCTGTCATTTTGGGTAAAGTGAAGAAGGAAAACTCCTATCAGATTTTATGCCATCTGTGTCCCATTAAGGAGATTTGCCGTCACTTCCTGTCATATAGCAAAAACAGAAAGCGAGAAAAAATCTCTACAAAGTGAGGAAATCCTTGGTTGTTCCTAGGGTTACTAGAACTGGTGTTCCCAATAAAAGATGTCCACCCTATTATTGATCTGGGGACTACCCAAAATGTGGGATTTTCTTTTACTTTCATATTCAGTGACAATGGATATACATGATAAATACAGAAAGTGAATATCGCTAATGGTGGCCTAGACAGCAATAAAAAAAATAGAAAACTAACAAGTATTCTAATTCCTTTCAACACTATCCGAAACTGAAAAAAAAAAAGTTTTGCTTTTAGTTATACTTTAAGATATGAACATTAGAGTTCATCACTGACCCTAGATATCCTAGATGCTTTTTAAATGTTATGGGTTATGGTTATGTTATGGTTTTTATTATTGGTGTCAATGTATTCTTTTAATATGGTGGATATTAGTTATTTTCTTGCAACTTACTACACAATGGGGTTGATATACTAAAACTGGAGAATGCGAAATCTGGTGCAGCTCTGCATAGAAACCAATCAGCTTCCAGATTTTACTGTCGAAGCTTAATAACAAGCTGAAGTTAGAAGCTGATTGGCTACCATTCACAGCTGCACTAGATTTTGCACTCTCGAGTTTTAGTAAATCATCGTCATTATTTTATTCACCCAAGGGGTTGAACTTGAGCTTCATTTTCACATATTGCACAGTTTCTTATACTCACAGTGTTATAAAAGCCTGTTGTTTACAATAGCATTAGCTGAATCAGGTTAACAGGCAAGTGATTCATACTTTATCCCACCATTTAGTCCAAAGTCTCAAACAGACATGTCCAGTTGGAAAGGAAATTATTCCTGCTGTTATGTCTCTTTAGCCAACTCATATCTGGGAATTCTTTGTCAAAAACAATATATATATATATATATATATATATATATATATATATAAAACGTACCATACGTATAACCCTACAGCCCATTGCAAAATGTCTGGCTGCCTGTGATAAAAAGAAACATCATAGTGCACTTATCTTTAGTGGCACAACTTCTCCATATTGAATGAGATACTCTTCAGTAGAAAGCCATTCTGCATCCAGTGAAGTTAATGGAATTCTGCCTGTGTGTGTTTGTAGGTGAATAGGAGGGGGGCGGCACAGGTTGGAAAGATTGATCTATGGAGAGGGACATCAAGGCAAGCACTGTATATCCTAAATAAATGTAATCAGCATGCAAAGGGCAGTCCATTAAGGATAAGTGCACAATAACTTATCGTAGGCTTTAAAAATAAGCATATACAGTATGCATAATGAGAGACTAAATAAAATTTCTTTCAACACTGCTTCTCCAAATAACATTGTAAGCATGTTATTTACAATTATTGATGTAGAACTTCAAGAGTTTATTATCATTAGTACTGAATCCTTATTGACACAACTATTTTTTATTGTCCAGTGCTGTGGGGCATCTATGGGAGCCAGATGTTCCCCATCGATGAAGAACCTGTACATGAGCTGGTGGGAGGAACATTTTCTGTTCTCCAGCAGTAACCTTTTTTGCTGACCATATTATCTGATATGCTCAATATTTTGATGACCTCCTGATGGTCTGGGATGGGGACATTTCTAGTCTGCATAGTTTTCTGGAGTACATTAATGATAATCAGCTAAATTTGTATTTTTCCCTTTAATACAACAACCTGAACATTAACTTTTAGGATATTACTCTGCAGGGTGATCCCATTACAGATAACATTTTTGCCAACACCTACAGGAAGCCGTGCTCTGGTAAAAACTACTCTTTTTGAGGCTAGTTGTCACCCATCCCACACCAACAATGCTATTCCTTATAGAGAGTTTGTTGGTGCCAGATGGAACTTCTCCACAGAATTTGCTTTTGAAACAGAGGGGTTTATTTACTAAAGCTGGAGAGTCCAAAATCAGACTCCCTTCTGCATAGAAACCAATCAGCTTCCAGGTTTCATTGCCAAAGCTTCATTGAACAAGCTGAGGTTAGAAGCTGATTGGTTTCTATGCAGAAGGGAGTCTGATTTTGGACTCTCCAGCTTTAGTAAATAAACCCCAGAGTGTCAAGTGATTTCTAAACGTCTGCTGAACAGGGGCTAGAACAGCTTTTATACAATGGAGTTGGGCCAGAGCCATGATGAAGAATAGGGAGGAATTACTGGTTGATGTTTGTAGAGGGTGTACTAAAAATGTTAAAATCTACAAGAGGAGACACCCTTGTTACTTCTGTCACCACGTATTCCAAAAAATACCACCAGGTTATTATAATGATAAAAAGGAATTTGCCAATCTTGTATACAGATAGAGGTTTACATGGAATATTACAAGCAGGTCGCCATTTCTCTAGTAGCTGAGCACAAACTTTAGGCAATTTTTTTTTGATCACCAAGTCTTTTGTTTCATCCAAAAAATGCCAATCTACCTGGCTGTCATATCCTGGAAGATATACCTGTAACACAAAAACTTGCAGGTTTTTGTGCAAGTTAAGGTCATCTTAACATGTCAGGTAAATAAATTTCTTCTACATACAATGACAGGAGAAGAATTTCTCATGCAGCAGTATATTATCTGTGGCACGAAATATGTGGTTTACCCAATTACCTACATGTACCCTGAGGAAGCGAATCGGAGACCACTACTGCAATACCAACAATTTAAATGTAAAATTTCTAATGCGACATCATTTTAGAGACTATTATTTTGGTGATTTCTCTTCTTTCAGATTCAAGGAAATAAAAAGGCTTTCTCATTTGCCCAGGTGGAGGGGATAGAGAGAGAAAGCTCCTGAGGTTAAACCTGAGTTGTGATCTAGACTTACGTTTAAACTAATGCAGGCCATAGACGGCTTTGTCAACTAGATAATTATAGTACAGTGTCTTATCAAGAGATCTTCAGTTTAAAAAAAAGTCAGAAGCTACAAATACTATAGTTGCTGACTCTTAATAAAAGAAGCAGGCCAGCCCAGGAATCCATTGCTGACCTCACTCAGTCAGGTTCTTTGCCAGTCTTGGGGGCTCAGCCAATGATGACTGCGGGAAGCTGGCTGTAACTCCCTGTGGCTTCACAGTTGGCTCCCCACTGCACATGCCCAGCCAGGCTATGTTTTCTGAATCTAACAGGTATCAGGAGGTTGTGGGCAGTGAAGTGGAAGGCAATCCAAGTGGAAGTTGGAGTGGGTACCTGTCATATCTAGATACCCACTCCCTAAAAAAAAAAAAAAACAATACATGCAGAGGAGAAGGGGAGGAGGGCAGTCAGTGAAACTTCCTTTAGTAAAGGACATTTTGCCTATTTTGCATATGGTAGATATGGTAGATTTAACCTATTTTGCATATGGTAGGTATGGAAAACATTTTCGTAGATCCACTTGTTGCAAGTTCGATGCACAAAGCAGTATATGAAGCAGCAAAAGCTTTGCTAGCACAGAAAGCTTTTACAGAAATCTTAAACAAGGTAATCTAAAACAATGACTATTCTTTTATTAAGAGAGAAAGACTAAAGAAGGAGAGGATTCAAATAAAGAAAAATCCTTATAAAGGATGAGAATGAATGAAAAACAGTCCACATTTCTCTAGAGGTCTTTGCTGAAAAAACACAGCACTGGAAAATGTGAACACCTTCCCAAATAACAAAGAAGCCCGTAGGCAAATATTAACAGTTTCCTGATGAAGGGCATCCTACATGACCCTGAAGCATCACATATTTTATTGTGATTAGGTAAAAGCAGATATATTGGTGTGTGGCCTTTTTGTCACCTTTATTCTAATAATTTGAATCCAATATACAGTATATGCCTATAAAGCAAAATGTGTCTATAGGATTGTGACATAAGGTTGAACTCTAGACAAACAGCTAAATGCATAGATAAAATGTATATATGGGAGCTGTTTTGCTTGCAAGAATTTTTTAATTTCTTTCCATCCAGTCCTTAGATTTCCACAACTCTTGAACTTTCTTTTTTGCTGTTTCCCATTCACCTAAAGGTCCCCTCCCCACTCCCATCCTTTGACTGTACAGTGTATGGAGAAGAAGCACCCTGATGAGCTCACCAATCTTTCACTCTTCTGTCTTCTGCTTTTTGTACTGAAGCAAGCCAGATTGGCTCTCTGTTTGGCTCTTTGTCCCTCCCTGTGCTCTAGGGGTGCAAGAAGCTGATATCAAGAAGCTGATACTCACACTTGCATTTAGAAATACATCAGAGCAGCATTAAGTTGTGCCATTTATATTTGCTTGGAGTTCACCTCTTACTTGTAATTTTATTTGTGTTGTCACAGTATAAGAAACAATGCTATTTGAGGAGACTTGAAAATATGCTTTTTCAGGAAAATGTACACTGACAGCCATATTTATTTTGCTCTTAAACCACTACATCTACCATTATTACCATATTACCATAAATATGTAACATTGTCTATGGTCACAGAAACATTATGAAATAAAATAGACCTTATATCACAACTTTACAGTGAAACTTCAAATATCACAATAAATTAGCCACTGGGCCAATCTATGTATTTATAGTACTGAAATCTCTTACTTATTTGTCTAATGTTTGACCTTTTATGGAGAGTTAGATTTCTGATTGATTGTCATAAATAACATTCTGTATACATGCCCGCACATGCTGCAGGCTGTTGTGTAGACTCTGTAGAGAATATGGAAATTAGTTGCAATGCCT